AGAAGGCCAAGGGTATCCTGGGGTGCGTTACAAAGAATGTTGCTGACAAGTCGAGGGAGGTGATCCTCCCCCTCTACTCAGCCCTGGTGAGGCTACATCTGGAGTACTGTGTCCAGTTCTGGGCTCCCCAGTACAAGAGAGGCATGGAGCTCCTGGAGCAAGTCCAGAGAAGGGCTGCTAAGATGATGAAGAGACTGGAGCATCTCTCATGTGAGGAAAGGCTGAGAGAGCTGGGCCTGTTCAGCCTGGAGAAGAGCAGACCGAAGGGGCATCTGACCAATGTGTATCTGAAGGGAGGGTGTCCAGAGGATGAGGCCAGACTCCTCTCAGTGGTGCCCAGCGATAGGATGAGAGGCAACAGGCCCAAACTGAAACACAGGCAGTTCTCTCTGAGCATGAGGAAAAACTGCTTTCCTGTGAGGGTGACTGAGTGCTGGCACAGGCTGGTCAGAGAGGTTGTGGAGTTTCCATCCCTGGAGATGTTCAGAAGCCATCTGGATAGGGTCCTGGGCACTACGCTCTAGGTGACCCTGCTTAAGCAGAGGGGTAGGGCAAGATGATCTCCTGAGGATCCTTCCAGTCTCAACTGTTCTGTGATTAAGAATGAAAAATACTGCACCTTCCTGTAAGCTTTGATTTAGCTGGAGATAACCCCTACTACAAAAAGCCTATTTCTTTTCTCTGTTAGGAGCCATTCTATAGTGAATTTCGTTATACATTGAGGAAGTTGAATTGGAGTAACTCCAGTTACAGTGTGTGATATTATGCAACTTCAATGTAACTCGTCTGCAGCAATAGCACATATTGCAGCAGAAATGTAAAGAAACAGAAATAGATTTTTGTTTTCTTGAATTTGTTTGAACTCCAAGCATGTTTATGATTCTGTGACAAAAGGCATTATTTTTCTGCTAAATACATAGGAAATGATATTATATGAATGTAAGCTTTATCTAGATATTTAATTCCAATTTCTTTTGCCTTGTAGCACTGATTACATAGTCAACTATAGAATTTTATGTGGGTACTAAATAAACAATGTAGCTGAGACTTCATATGGTCGGGGAAGGAAGCCTCCGGATCCATCCCTTCCCTCTTACATAGAAGGAAAAGTTCAGGGAATATGAAGCTAGTCATTGTGTTGGAGGAAGTGGTCTTAGGAAAATAAAGAGGTTTTTAAATACATCCATGCCCCTACATGGTTTTTGGCTCTGCAACTGATTTTTCTCTGCAATTCTGGATAAATCATTTAGGTTACATCTATACCATGTAATGTAGCATCCTGCAGAAATATCCACATTGACTCTGACTGAATTTTGAGGACTTTTTTTTCTCCCTTCACTGAGAATTTCACTTCTTAAAATGTTGGGACAGGTCACATAGATCAAGTGGGACTGTGTTAATACACTGTATTTTTTTCAGTTCAGGTAGAAAACACCAAACCATTGAAACTCGTGGGTCAAGTTTTTTTTATTTTCTATTTCTTTTAAGAAATAAATACAGCATATGTCTCAGTAGGAATGGGAAAAATGACAAGTCTTCTCATTTCTGCATTCTGTCTTCCTTAGGTAGAACAGAATTTCTTAGGAAATTGTATTATGGAATTAAATGCCTGCAGAGCTGGAAACATGCTCTTTTCTGTGTTTGCTTTTGCACTTTTCTCCTCTGGGTATGCATGGCACCATGAATATATTAGGGAAGAATATAAACTGAACCTGAAGTGACTGGTTCAAAGTCCCTGTAAAAATGAACTTGCTAAGTATTTGGAGGAACATCAGGTTGAGTGGCTGACCTTGACAGTCCCCCTGTGTTGCAGGATCAAGAGCGGCCAAGTGTCTGTGCTTCTAGTAAGGGACGCTCAGGGCCTGGTATAAGCAAGGGCAGCCCTGAGAGCTCACTGTGCTTCAGTGTAGCCCGCAGGACTGCCACCATGTCAGTGGTCACTGAGAGTCATCGTATCCCAAAACTGAAGTGCATCCCAGTGCAATTCATGAGTGCTCTTATCTACCTCTCCTGTGATTAAAAAGACTGCAAACTGGAGGTGACATGATGGCTCTGGGTGTTTCCCCCAACCTCCCTTCATCCTCCCCTCTGTGTGAGACTCCACAGGTTCAGGCACACGAGACGACGCAGGCATGCTACGTCCTGTAACACAGACATGGCACTGTTAGCTCACTGAACGAGCGAGGGGACTTGATTCTCTCTAGTAGGGAAGATTTTAGTGCAGTGTCCTAACAGGTGACGCTCTGGCTGCTGCGTGGCTCTGCTGCGTCTTTGCACTCTGGCATCTCACCGATATGTGCTGCCCGTCACCCATCACCCTGGGGCTGGGATCGGGAGGAGTCTGCTATGGGAGGCAGGTGGTGTGGCAGTGAGCTAGGCAGGAGATATGTGAGAAATGCCAAAGAGGCTTGCCAATTCTGTGCATCTACTTGAAGGGCCTTATGGCTGTTACCCCTTAGCAAGAAGGGGACAGGAGGGGAAGGTAGAGAAGTGTGCTTTAAGCCATGCAATAGCAACAAAGCACGCCTGCTGCTGCATGAAGTCTCTTCTCATCTGAAAAACCCTGTAAGTTTACCCTCTCACATTCCCAAGTTTTCATGGGAATAAAAGTCTGTAGCTTAAATACTCATCAGAAAGTGAATGCAGGACTTGTGTAAACAGCAGCATTTTAAAATATGATTTAATCTTCTAGGAAGCCTTTTGTACACTCACCTTTACCATCCCCCTTTTGCTGCTTTGAGGTCCTTTGATAAAGTTCTCTTTTTGCTTTTAAAAAGGCATGGATTGTTATCACTTTTGTGCTCCGACAATTTTACTTCTCCTTATACAGAATGACTGTTTTTATGCTCACCCCTCAGCTCAGCGTCCGATCTGAGTTTTCTCCCTCAAAGATCAAAGCTTTCTGATCTTATGGTATGAGCAAATATCTTGCAAATACATTTCGCAATAATTGCAGAGACAGTGCAATAAACCACAGCAGAGCTAGATCTGTTGACGATGGAGCAATGTGAAAAATGCTTGCAATACAGTGAGCTCTATGAAGTTGATATTCAGAGGGAGAAAAAGAAAAGCCAGAGTGCAAAGGTGGGCTGAGCAATTCAGAGGTAGAAGGATGTTCTGATTTTGTTAAAATCAACGGTAGCATTGGTGTTTCGCTGTTTGCTTTGCTTTCTTGTTGCTTGCCTTTTTTCACTATATATTGGACAAACAGACATTTTAAAACAAGCTAAGACCCTCTCATTTCTCTACATTTTTGCAGGGGATATTTGTTCATGATTCAAAGGGAATGGTTTCTTTTCAGGTGCCCGACGAAAGCCTCAGCACCCAGTTTTGAGTAGGAATAGCTTATTCAGGAGCAGGGCAGACTCCTGGCTGAAAATTCCAGGCAGTTCTTTTAGATTGAAATTGTAGTTCTAAAATTATAATAATAAAATATATATACATAATAATGACAATTGCATGAGCACTGAGGTGCTTGCACTCAGTATTCTTGCAGGTAGACTGCCCAGACTACCTACACTCATGAGCAAAATTGTGCAAAGTGGTCTGCAAAGGAGTTGGCTGGTATTTGTGTAACAATAGCAAATCCTAGAGCAGGAACTCAGCACCAAATTTCTCTGAAGTTTAGGATTATTCTGATCCTGTTTCTAATCTATGCATTCTAGTTTGATCTCAAGCAAATACCAAAGGCATTATTTCTGTTTAAGATAGTTTCCTAAATATTTACCACAATCCTTTTCTAAGGAAGTTACCCCTGAGAAAGTTTTCATATATAATAAGGGGTGACTGTGTAGCCTGTCCCGACTTGCACATTGGTAGAAGTGTTTCACATGTGATAATTATACAGTCCATAGGACAATCTGGAGTAGTTCAACCAGCATACCTCACAGTTTTGTAACTAGTTACCTTATTTTACTAGCCAAACATAGAATATTATTATCCTTCTGAACTGCTATTTCTCATTATTATTTGGCAACCTTCATTTCATTAAATCCTGTGAAAAGCTGTCTGCAAACTCTGCTAAAGTAACACAAATGTCTGAGAAAAGTAGCAAAAGTATGTGAGGGTTAAATGTAACTTTTTTCTCATAAGTGTCATTCTTCTGATTTAGAATTCTTTAATAGACACTGAGCAGTGGAGAACTGAAAGTATTTTTAATTTCAGTGCTTTGTATATTTACAGAAGGATTACAACAAACTTCTACACTTTATCTACATTTTAATAGGTCAGTGTGAACATATGAAGTGTATTAAGGTGGACTGCCCAACTTATTAAACTTGCGTGAATTCGTCAAAAGCCCTTAGCAGTTGTGTGCAACAGGGGCTGGAAAGCCATGCATGATTGAGGTCATGCATCCAGCCAGTTTGTAAGATGATCCCTCTGTACCGAGCCATCAGCCATCCTTAGCATAGGGGCGCACTCATACACGCATTCCTGTCAAGTCATCTTGTGAAAGGCTGCTTGCTTCCAGCTTGGCTTGAATGTGCAACCTTAATAAAACTCACTGAAGTCTGAGAGAAAATAGCAGTTCTGCAGCAGATAGTGTAGGGGAAAGAGACTGGGATATGCATATGCAGCTGACTAAAGCAGGCTACATGCTGGACTGTAACAGAGAGGAAACAATAAATCTTAGCTACTATGCAATAAATATTCCCAATTTTAACTAAGGAAGCTATCCTAATATTGAAATCAAAAATATAACAATTTATCCAAGCTTGATTACTAAAGTACAATTCTCCAGTCCTTTCCCCAAAGACTTTAAAGGAAATTAAGAACAAATTTAAAGAAAGAGGAAGAAAAAAGTTTTTCTAAAATTAGTAAAGGAAAGTAATAATAACATGACAATTTTCCTTTCCTTTGCTTTCTTGGCTGCTCTTCTGGCTCATATGGGCTGTAGTAATCAACGTCGGGGTCCAGAAGCCAGTGGGAGAAGATATAACCGGATTCAGCATGGGCAGTGCACCTATACTTTCATTCTACCAGAACAGGACGGCAACTGTCGTGAAAGCACGACAGACCAGTACAACACAAACGCTCTTCAGAGAGATGCTCCTCACGTGGAACAGGATTTCTCTTCCCAGAAACTGCAACATTTGGAACATGTGATGGAAAATTACACTCAGTGGCTGCAAAAAGTAAGTGCTTCTTTTTCCACTTCTCACAAATGGATATTTTTTGGTGGTGCTTATGCTGTTTGTAGTTTTCATGAGTTTCTGTGAGAAATGAGATACTAAGGATTTCTCTAGTTCATAACTCTGCAGGGTGAGAAATCTTACAGCCAGAGTGCACCCTTCGTAGTGAGATTACTCTTGGGAGCAGAATTTTCTTCACATTACTGGAAGATGCAATTTTGTAAAGCTTTATCTCAAGAGACCACGGATGTTTTGTGAGCCAGAGTATACAAAAATCCATCAGAGACTCTAACGAAGGAACACTTTATTAGCTAGTCTTGTAAACTCGGTTTATACTTCAGAGCTTCAGATCAGATGTCTTGCAGCATACCTGCTGCTCTGACAGCAAAAAGGTATATGTAAAAAAATCAACATTTAAAGGCACTATATTGAGACTATTATTACTATCTCCATAAATAGATCTTGTAATCCTATTCCATCCAGCTAATCACTGGAAAGACAGATAAACGTATATAAGCATTCACATTCTTAAATCATCACAGTAATTTTTTTAAATGTGTGGATTACACTGGACTTGAAAATAGTGTTATAGTAACTTAGCAGAAGTAATTCTTTTTAAGAATTTGTGCTATAGCTGTAAACTTTCACTGAACTGTTCAGTTCTTTATGTATGAGCTGAAGCTTGGGCATGGAAAGACTTAAATGTGTGAATAACTTTTACTCATATCAGCACTTCCATTTACGTTAATAAGATTACTCACTTGAGTAAAATTACTTACCTTGCTGGATCTTCTCCATGGTTTGATATTGAGAATGGTTTGAGAGAGATGACAAGTAAAATTAGGTCTTTTTATATGATTGTAATATTCCTGTTCTCACCTCGGCATTATGACCTGGCGAAACAGAAAACTGAGCAATTAATGATGCAATTAATCATGTAAGATGGCACAAGAAAACCATCGTATGTACCTATTCAAGAGAAACATCATTTAACTGTAATGCAAGATTATATGAAGAATGAATATCAATAAAAATGCTAGTAAAGACTACTAAAACTTCATATTAGCATATTTATTGCTACCTATCTCATTTACAATTTTCATTTCCTGTGACAGAAATATGTTAAAAAGCATAAACAACCACCGCTACCCTTCTAACCATATTAAAACCTTTGCAGAGAATTTCCTGATCTCCCGATAAATTAATTGTACTCTTTGCATATATAGTCCTAGAAAGAGAGAGATGACTGTATCTAATAAACATGTGACTATAAACCAAAATATAGCTGAGCATTTCTTTTTCAGACTATTTTCCTCAGTTTTTAATATTGTGGTCTGCTTTGGGGAATACAAGGCTGGAACTGAGGGGATGTCTTTACTTGTAAGGGAGAGGATTTCTTAAGAAATAATTTTACTGCACCTTGGGAGTTTAAGGCAAGGACTGAGAAGAGGAAAATTGTTATCTGTGTTTATGCACACATGATTTTACTTGAGCAAATTGCCTGCTGAATCATGCTTATGAGACTTTACTTATTCTATGTTTGTCCACTAGAGACTGAACTAAGATCACTGTTTCACCGCGAACTGAACAAGAAGAAAAATGAGTCTCTAGAGTGTGAATGTCTGAGCTAGGGCTAGTCCTCTCACGCTTCAGAGGGAAGTGATTAAACAGGTAGGAAGCCCAAGGAAAGGATTTTATATCCGAGGACTGTTCTCTTCTTCAATGACTGTAAAACCGGCTATGGGCAGGACCATCCCCCCCACTCCCCCGCTGCCCTTCCCAGCCCCCAGCCCTCTGCTGCCCTAGGTTTACACGAAGCCAGGGTTGCGCACGTATGCCCATATGTCAGTCCTCCTCAGAATGAAAGGACCCGTTTCTCTGTGTGAGGGAGTACAGCTCCCTGGGAACAAATGAGTCCGATGCAGCTCCATTATAGCATCTCTGAATGCTGAATTTGCTTTGTCGCTGTTGCCATTACAAAGCGTTTCAGCCATAACTCATTTCCTTTCATAAGAAGCATAATGCTTTAGTGTAATGAATACATTGTGTAGACATCTCACATCTCATTTTACACTGCATTTGTTTTTCCCCTCGACTTTTAATACAGGATATAAATACTGCTTCACCAGGCAAAATTTTACAATGCACCTGCTGTGAACAAAACAAAGAATTCTTAATGACTATAGGTCTGTAATCAGAAGTGAATAGTTATAATAAAGTTTGTATTTCAGAATTCAAGATATATTGTAACCTTCGTAGACGAAATATGCTTATTAGTCTATGTAATACATATAACTCTCATTATAATTGTACATTGGCAATGTTTACCAGAGACTCTTATTTTCTTAGCGCAAATGCAGCCTGCAGTATCGGAAGGGTATTTATTAAGAAAGTTTGTATAAGGTATTATATACTTAAGAAATCGTGTAATATTTTAAGTTAGAAGATGCTTTTCCTTGATTTCTAAATTAGTAGATTTCTCGAGGCAAAATAGGTATTCCTTAAGAGAAAAGGAAATTCTTTTACCCTCAGCAACAAAAGTGCTTCTTTGATGACCTAGTAGCTTGATTGTAGATAAAAGTGTGCTTGCTTGGGGAGCTGATTACAGGCAATTAAGTGGCAGCCTTGTCCAATAGCATTTGCATATCTATAGTCAGCGTCGCTGGGATTGGCTGGCAAACCACAGACAGGGCAAAATGCTCTGCTCAGAAACTGCTTGGAAGAAGATGACTTGGTAAACATTTTCAGTGATTTTCCTAGAACTGTTTATTTTAATACCGGATAACTTTCTCCATTGTTTAAGCTTGGGTTTCATTTCTGCAATATGTTTATACTAATAGTTCAAAACAAACAGTTCATCACATTTTGTTTCTTGCTGTAACCGACTGGCACACGTGATACTGTTTGGTATTTAATTGCAGTGTCTAAGTGTTGCCAAAGAGGAGTTACATGAAATGTTATCATCATGTCTTGCTCGGGAACTTTCTGTTAGTCAGCTGGGTGAACTTAAGATATTGGTGGTCTCAGTATACATTCAGAATGGCAATAGAGATGCGTTTATTTCATGTATTTATCCTTCAGTCAAAATAATACTAATAATAGTTGTAAGTAAGTGAGTTTGGCATGATCTACTCACTCTTTTTCCTGATCCTTACCTAAACAGAATACCACGAAAGCTGAAAGCGAATACTTGATAATAATGTTATAAGTTGCTAACATTGACATACAGCCTTGACTGGAAAGTGAACCACAATCATTCTGGTCAGCCAGTATCCAAACTTAGATTTTTTTGCTTTTCCCTGCAAATATTGGTTACACTACTTAAAACCAAATAAGGGAGCTTCAGCTCTCGTTGCTTATACTTCAAATTGTTTGTGCTGTCACCAGCTTATAAGGGAAGAAGTAGACAATGCTGCAAACTATGGCTTTTGAAAAGACAAGTATACATTTGCTCGCTGATCTGGCTCCATCTACAGTCTGCTCCTTTCTTCACCAGCAATGCCTAGCACTACAATCAAATGCTAATATGCTCATGTGCCCGTAGTGGCTGGATTTTGCCTTGGGCTCTATGTGTGTTGCTGAAGAAGTTGAGAAAATTCCTTATATGTCACTCTTGCTTTGAAGCTGTGAGCTGAAACGAGACAGTGTCTAACGCAAGGAGGGCAAGGTCTAAAAACTGGCACGATATCCTCTAATGCGTATTTATATTAATGTAAGGATAGAGGTGGCCATAATGAACAGCGTAATATTTTGTCACATTAAAAAACCAATATCTCCTATTTAAAATATTACAAGAAAGAGTAATAACTCCATTGTATTTATGGTTATGTTTCACTAGGCACTTTTAAACGTAATGCGTGATATAAAGCCCACATATTTAGGTGTTAAGTGCAACAAAAAGATGTCCGTGATGAACTCCTGTTAATTTCCACAAATAAAAACAGGTCATTAGATTTGGAATCTACCATTCTGATTATATGAGCATTACTAACAGGGCTTTCCAGGTCTGTTGTGCTAAGGCTTTTCCAAGATAGACCAGAGCTAATAGGAAACATTGAGAAAGCGTCATCCAAGAATGGCCACCAGGCTTTTACTAGGGGTCCAGCTTGAACCTGGATTTCTTGCCTAGTCCCAGAGGCTGTTAGCCTCTGTTAACCTAGGATACTAGGTGCTCCTTTTTTGCTCTGGAGCTGAAGAATTCTCAGATCCTAAGAAGAACCTTGTCCTACGGAGTTTCAAAGGGTCGGTTCCCACAGACAAGCAGTGAAACAAATGAAGCCTGGTTTCTTACCGTCTGATGTCTTGTCACCGTGTCCTCATTGACTCCTCATGTCTATACCATATCTTCTCCCATAATAAATACCTTCAGCTTCTCCTCGTGGCCTTACTTCCCTTTCTTGGGTGATGCCCATGGTGTCCTCAGTTTCCCTCCAAATACCTTGTCCCTTTGTTCGAATAAGCATTAGCTTATAGCATGGCTTGTGCTGTATAGTATATACTACTCAATGAGTAAGCATGTAAAAGCTGACTTTAAAGGAGAAAAAATAAGTATATGAAAACAAATGGGTTCTAAGAGAATTCACATTTGAATCTAAAAATAAAGCTGCCCATTTCCTCCAAAGAATCTTTTGACTAATAATCTGCCTACATTTTAAGAGTTTTATTCAAGTTCCTGAGGTCCTTGGGATATTCTGAGGTACCTCCAAGAAAGAGGCATGATTTTAAACATGGAAGTGCCTGAAAGCTTGTCATTACTGGGGGATGATCTATCTGGCAATTTTTTTTTAAGAAGGAGAAGAATCAAAGAAATAGACTCAAAGCCAGTTTCACATGTTGCCACATTTTGGTAGCAAATGACTTAAAAAAATATTTCCCATGCTTTGACAGAAGGCTTTATCATAATGTGCAGTAGAACCTGAATGTGTTTATTTTCAGTGATGACAGCTGTAATTAGGAACTTTCTGGTAACAATAAAATATTACACTTATTAGTCATCAGAACTGTCCAACCAACATGCCCTGTGGGAGATCTCATTTGGAGCACTGAGAGTTTTTCTAAATGAAACTGATATAAAGTAAATGGTGTGTCATTTTGGGGGTGCTGAGAACTCGTCGTTCCCATTCTTTTCTGTGGTTTGGAAGCAGTTTCTACTTCACAGTGATGGGTGCCTTGGAAAAAAGGACAGTCCACATGGGAAAAGTACAGAACTGGGTATTTTAGGCCTGGATCATCCCACCCAAACTTCTGGCCAGAACCCAGAGATATCCGAGATAGGTTTTCCTTCACTGTAGGGAATCTCTCAGTACTGTGTCAAGAGACAGTAGCAAGTTCGGAGGGAGAGCCAGCCATCTAAACCGTCCTGTGGAAGTGCCTATTTGTCTTCAGTGACTCCAGGGAAATTTGAGCAGTTTGTTTCCTAATTTAAATGTCTCAGTTAAGTGGGATGAATTTAGGTTTTACTTTCTGCCCATGACTGTAGCATAGACTTCCCTTGTGACTATAGGCAAGTTGTAAACTTTAAACATTCTGGTTTCTCTTTTCTAACACAGATACAGTACTACTACTCAATTTCACAAGGCTGTTGGGAGACTTAATATGTTATTTTGTGTGTTGCTTTTGGAATCTTTCTGGGGGAAGGTATTTTGTGCTATTTAAGTGCAGTTTAAGTATGATAATATTTTTAATGCTTACTGAAAAATATGTACAATCAGAAACTCTTTTGGAACGAAAGTAATGTAAAAATGTGTAACCAAAATAATTTAAAATTATAAGCAGATAGTTACAGTGAATAAGAACCTATAATGCTAACTATATTTTGCAGGTTGAGTTTGAGTAAGTGGATTATAGTTAAGATGGATAAGTCCTGCTAACTGTGGGAATGGATCTCATTCTTCCAGTGTTCTTAAGCCCCGTGGAGCATTTGCTTGCTCCTTCCTGTATTTACCTAAGACGAACAGGACTGTAACTTAGTCTTGTACAGATTCTCAGGAAAACCAATGAGGAATGGCTAGTTTTTCAGGGCTATTGCCTCCAGAAATTTTGAATAAACTAGTCGTTATCAAAACTGGACTCATTTGTGTGATTCATTGTAGCCATATCTGGAAAGGTAAAGATATTTAGTGGCTTGTTTGTATTCACCTCAGTTTAGAGTTCAGCTTAATTCAATTTTCTTCTCTGCTTTTGCAATAAGATGCAAACAAAAAGCTAGGAAAGGAGGGCCTTTAAGAACCAATATCATGGTTTTAGCAGTGCTATGAATCCTTAGCAGTGCTATGAACCTTCAGGACCAGGAAGCTGTGTCTCGCATAAGCAGCTGTGGTGTAAATGTCTTCCCAGTAGCATAGGCTTTCCCCAGTTGTTATAGGGTTTAAGTGTTGATCAGGAAAAGGAAACTGAAATGGTATCATATTTCATAGGAAGGAGTTTCTTTCTTATGAAACAAGTTGTACTTTAACACAAGGTTATTTTTTTGTAACCACATGTGCATATTTTAGAAAGTGTTGTGAAACACCAGGGTGGTGAATATTCAATGTTAATTGAAAGAGTAACTTAGAAATGCCATAAATTATTGCACAGTTGCACTATATTCTCATTAATGTTCCTGCACAAAGATCAAGCTTTGCTTGTTATTACCTTAGTTATTAATCAGGTTAATCTAGAACAATATAAAACACTCCTAAACTGGGAAAAGAAGTCTACTCAAGGGCTTGCACCAGTTTTATTAACTCTATTTAAGACCAGTGCAAGTCAAACTAGCGCCGCTTCGTTGTGCAAACAAGACCTAAGAGTTGTCTATGCTAAATATTGTACAAACATATGGGCAGAAATAGATAGTCAAAGCCAGATCGATATGGAGTCAGATGGAAAGATGCTCAAGTTGCACCGTAGTGCATTTTTAAAAAGGGCTTGCTTTCATGAATAAAACAAAACAAACCAAAAAAACCCCAAAACTCGATTCTAATCCCCCAGAGGAAGAGTTGCATAGCAAATCACTATTCTAGGCCATGCAGCTATGTGATTGCTTGAAATAAGCTTCTTATAGTCCCTGACCAGCAGAAATAAAAAAAAGAAAAAAAAAGTCCAGTAAGAGAAGGGAAGGGGACTTCTTAGAAAACTGTGCTAGGTTTATGGTGGAACGTGTGTGGTTTTGGAAGGCACTTTAAAGGCCTGTTGTATGGTCAGCATATGCTCAGTTATACTCTCTCTGTTACCATGCTCGTCTTATAAGAGAGCCCTTATATGTGCAGATCTAATCTTACTTGTAATCTTACTTGTAAAATCTAGGCTGAAGCTCCATGAATAAAAACAGGCTGATCCAAAATTCTGTAAGAAGTATACCCAGAATTTCCTTTTCCTTTGGAGGACATGCACCTCTCCTGCAGTGCACATACATGAGCGTCTGTGCACATACACGCATGCACATATGTGCGTGTGTGTTTGTATATTTGGCATATCTGGTGTTAAGGGACAAGAAAATCTGTTCTTAAGTCTTGTGGCTTAGATCCATCTCTATATTTTATACAGACCTCCCTACTGTCAGTCAGTTGTTCTAGAATTGATTTGTTAGCCCCAAAACACTAGATGAGTTGTTAGTAAGGTGAAATCTTGTGTGTTGTACATGATTCATTCTGTGTCTACTAGTCCCCTTTCTGTGTTACCTA